TTTTCTTGTATTTTATCGCTCTGCTGACCCTTGGGGTCCATTTTATTTTGGTATACCTTTTCTAGGTACGTTAGCCTGTGACCACGGAAATTGGCCGAGTCAAGTGATGGATTAGTACGGAGAGATTGAGACAGAAGGAGGTACTGGATAGAGAGACCGGGATGGTTTTTAATGTGAAGACAACAACAACAACAACAACAACAAGACTAGACTATATATGCTCGCTCCATCCAAACTACCATGCGGGGCAACACCCTCTGGAAGCAGTGCGTCCCACTGGCCAGCCACGGTCGGCCTCTCGTATGTATGACATGATCATAGTCAGGACTGTTTTTTTCGGGGGAGGAGAAGTGTTCACTACAGCAGCAACCAACCTACGCTGCGGCCCTGCCCTTCGCCGCTGTTGCTCCTCCATGTTCCCCCACTTCTGTTTGTGTTGTCTGTTCCACGATCGATGATTACAGAGTCCTAAGTGTAGATTAACCACTGTGGGTCTATTCTCGAAGCTGAAGTAATCCACACAGCACAGACAGTCGAGGTGTCCATAATAGTGACGTTTGAACCGTATCGTGGTGAGCTTGGTCGTTTGAGTGTTGCACGTCGTCGCGTTCAGCACAACCGACCTTTCGAATTTTTTTTAATAGATCCAGGGGGTGTGATATCTTGTGTCGTCCTCGGCACCCCACGTACCCACCTTACCCCACTGCACACACGGTGCCCCCTCGTCGTGACCGCCTGCTGAGCTGCAGCTGCAGACCCAAACTTGACAGTAGTCATGTGCGGGAAGGGATAGGCAACCACAAAGCCAGGGAACAGAGAGACGGGCTTCTTCCGATGCATGGGCGCCAGGTGAGCGGTGCCTGGCAGGAGACGTGTCTTCCTTGTATTGACGGTTGTTGGTTGGGGTTGGAGAGCACCAAACCTTGAGAGAAACCGTCAGCTTGTACAGCACACCATCTCGTATTCCTGGAGCATGGGGCTGCCACTGCTGCTGCTGCTGTCGTCTGTGGCTTGGAACCGGGTGATGAGCTTTTGCCATGAGCCCCCCGTGCATCCCAGAAACTACAGGGGACTGCTTGCAAAGAGAAGAGCTTGGTGTAACGGGACGTTCTAGTCCAGAACCAGCCCAACGTTGCTCACAGCGGCGGTATGTGACCGACCGGCTTGTACCAGCCAGGCGGCGCAATCCCATCAACAGCAAGAACACAAGCCTTGGTTGATACTTGTAACCGCAACTGCCACTTTGGGGTCGCTACCCCCACTGCTGTGCAAGCTACCGCTGAGTAGAGGCAGGACGGCGAAAACAAGCATAGCCCCGGCACAAGCTCGCGCAAAGTTTTCGAATGGAAAATGGCAAGTGTGAACTTAGCGGCGGGTGCGGAAAGTTTGCGCACGTGTGTACAGGAAGACACGTAGCGTGCATGCTAGTTTGCTGGGTTATGTAGCCCGCTGGGCTGAATCAACACATACAGCAGCACGTCGCGCGTAAGATACTATACTCCCTTGGGCGATTTTGAAGGCTCGATTCCTTGACAATGAAGAGTACCACTGCTCTCTGCAGTTGTGTATTCTGTATCTGTATTTTTGCACGGACCCGCAACGTTACCGTTGATGCCATGACACAAGATACCACACACCCTTGACCAATTATGAAGGCTCCACGATATGTACTCCAAGAAGAACATTTTCAAAGCTCCACTACATGTACTCCGAGACGAACAAGATACCAACTCATGCTGATGCTGTTCGGAAAGATCTCGACAGGATGGTTCCAACGCCGCCATTGTCGGCACTGCCGCTCTTTCTTCTGCGGAGTACAATCAAGCTTCGAAAATGGATCCAAGGTGCACGTGCGGTACGCCCTCTCTCATCCCGGCTATATGCCACACCGTCCGTGTTGTCGCCTCCTATGCATGTGACGATGTACTCCAAAGATCGTTCCCTTCAACCACGAGTCGACCCCCCCCCCCCCCCCCCCCCCCCCCCCCCCCCCCCCCCCCCCCCCCCCCCCCCCCCCCCCCCCCCCCCCCCCCCCCCNCCCCCCCCCCCAATTCTCACCTATATACTTCATATACTTCGGGATGCAGCAGCGCGCTGTCGACACAGCTGTAGCCCTCCCAAGTTTTTCGTTATCGTAGGAATGTTGGAAGGAGCAATCAGTCGGGCAAGTTGGGTTAGGGTAAGGCAGTGGGGTCTGCGCCCCCTCCTCTCTGGTCTATACCCTCATTAACTTGCTTAATCACGCGGACGGTCCTGTCCACACCTACAGAAAGGAGTACCAGTGCCGTAGGCGATATGACACAAGATACCTCATCCCCCTGGGCTGATTTTCTATACCATAATGGTGTAACCACACCATGATGGCATTTCCGTAGGTGACACAAGATACCACGCACCCCTTGGACTACTCATTGTCAAAGCTCGAATGTTCCACTCTGTTACAGATTATAGGGTGCCTAATGAAACGATACGCTTTCGCAAAGATGACAAGACGGCTTTCGGCGCTGCCACTCCTTCTCTCCTGTGGAGAAATCGAGCTTTGGAAATCGATCCATGAGGCGTGAATTCTCTTACACCATGTCACCCACGGTAGCCTGCTGGAGGCGGTAAGCAAAGTTGGTTCTTACATCATGTTACCTACGGCAGCCTGCTGGAGGCGGTAGGCAAAGTGGGCTCCGGCGACGCCGTTCTTCCATCGTTTTGGTGAAGTACGTTTGAACACACACACCCTCGAACATCCGATTTTGAAAGCTCATTTCTTCAAAGCAGAAAAGTGCGACGGTGCCGAAAATGGCGGCGTTGGAAGTTGGAACCATCTGAAGCGGGAGCCTTCTGGAAAACCTATCGTTTATGTCATAGACATCCGCTTCGTAGTGGACTGATCGAGCTCTGAGAATCGGTCCTGGGGTTTTGTTGGGCAGGGTTAGGGTTAGCTCTGAGAACCGTACTCGCCATTGTCGACATACGTACAAATGTGGTAATGTCGTATCGGTAGGTGACATGACGCAAGATACTACACCCCGTGAACCGATCTTCCAAGCTCGATAAGTCCACGACCAAGAAGATGCCGGAGGCAAACGATACGTCTTCAGGAAACTCTCGACGAGACGGTTCCAAATCCGCGAGTTTCGAAACCGTCACTGCCTTTCATGCGGAGAAATCAAGCTTTTGAGAATCGGTGCAGCGGGGTTGATATCTTATGCAACCTACGGTAGCACCACTAATCACGGAACCTGTGTGTGAGAATATGCCCCGGTGCCGCCGAGAAGGAATTAGTGAAAGGCTTACGTCGTCGTTGGCATTAAACCTACCGCCACTCATATTTCATCTTTGGGAATAACACCCACCGAAGAATTACTGCCGTATGCCGTATCACAGCAGTACCTTCCTCGCCTGTGTCGCGCCAACAAAACCGTTTCCGACCGGTGCCGCCGAAAAATTACCGCTGTATGGCACAACGATTGTGTGGCTTAATACAACCGTCGCCGACATGCGCATATGCAACCCTGGACCGACACATTCGCATGCATGCCTTGAGTTGTTCCTCTCGACCACAAGTGTCAGATAAGTACGGACAGACGAAGATACTGGATGGAGAGACCTGAACGGTTTCGAACGTGAAGATAACAAAAACAACCGTGTCTTCGTTGACTGGTGTTTTCCGTGCGGCAGCCTCCGCCGCCGCCTCCGCCGAAGGATGTCAGCAGGGAGGGGACGCTAGACGAGCATCCCCTGTTCGAGGCGTTGTACGTGGTTTCCGTCGAGGAGGACGCTTCGAACAGGGGGGGGGATGGCGGCGCCGCAGCCCCGAGTTCCAGCGTGGAGGCGTACCAGCGTGCCAGCAGACAGTGCCCGCCTAGGGTGATCTGGAGGTAAGTTTTTTTTCTGTTTCATACAGAGGGAAGAGATTGCTGAACGCTTCTCGCATTAAAATCGAAGGCAACGTACCGCAGGAGGGGAGGGTAGAGAGGGGCCCTTTTGTGTAACCACGGGTTGGAGTAAACGGCAGTAGTGCTGCGAGCGCTGATTCGAAGTGAAGACAAAAGAATAAAAACACCTGATATGAGGAGAAGTATTGGGTGCTTGCGTCCGCGTCAGTTGGACCGGCATTAGAAGGCATTGAGCAGATCAGAGCATGTTTTGATGTGAAAGCAACAGGAATCAATTTTGTCCAAACGTGATTCTTTACTAATCAAATAGATTCAGTAGTGTTTCGTTCAGCCGAGAAAACCTGTTGCTTCTGTTGTTTCCATCGAGACAAGTGCAGCAGGAGGTATGTTGCTGGTTCTCGGCGGGTGTTGTTTTGGTGGTGTTGCTGGTGGTACTTATGGTCGTTGTGATGTTCCTGTGGCGATGTTTTTGTAGTGTCGACACGGATGCCGCTGCTGCTCCTCCTGCTCCTTCTGCGGCCACAGCTGCGGCGTTTCTAGCGAGAACAGAGAACGATGCCGAGGTCGACGCGCACCCACTGTGGTCGTACTCGTGCTCGGCGGGTGTTGGCGGTGCTGATGGTGCTAGTGGTCGTCGTGACGTTGCTGTGGTGCTATAATAGTGGTGTTTTTGGTGCTGTCGACGCCGGTGCCGGAATGGAACAGACCGACAGACCAATTCACCGGCACTATCAAAGGGAACGGCACTTCTCAGAGCAGGGATTTTTGGGTTTTCGTTCAGGTTGTGGACACTCGTGCCCAGAGATTTGACCTGCACCATACCGGGCATAGACACTATTCAACCAGCACTACTGAGGGCTCTCTACTGCACTGCTACTTCTACTGCTGCTGCTGCTGCTGCGGCTGCGGCTGCGGCTGCTGCTGCTGCTATTGGTTTCATGTTGTCGACCGTCCTTTCCTATTCGCCCTGTCCTCGAAATATACCCTCGTGCGAGAACGGCGGCAATCGATGTAGGGTAGGCTATGCCGCACGTCGTTTCTAGCCAGCACACAGAAAGAACTCTACATACCGTAAACGTCGGAGCTTCCCCCCCTAGTAGAGTTTCCCCCCTCCCCCCCGGTGTCGAACACCCTTAGCAGGATGCAGCGCACCCTTCATGTGACTCGCCGAATCTCACGGCGCTTCGCGCTTGGTGATGTGAGAGCCTGGTCCGGTGAGAACCCGGCTTGCTCCGTACCGGCTTTGCAGGGATACGAGGTCAATGGTCTAACGACTACGGCATGCACGACTATGAGTNTGAAAAACACGCCACCCCAAATATAGCCCCCATAGTATGCGCTTTCCGCCCCCGATGTTTGCCATCGGGGTTGGGTTTTCTTAGGGGCTGATGGAATTGTGAATGAGCTTTTCAAACAGGGCGGGGGGGGGATGATTAACATGTTGGTCCGGATATTCAACTGGATATGGAAACACGAGTACGCACCGAAGAGATGGAGAGAAGGAGTAGTCGTGAACCTGTTCAAAAACGGGGACAAAACTGACCCGGGGAATTATTGAGGGATAACCTTGCTGAGCACAGTGGGGAAACTCTTTGGCAAGATGAAAAACAATAGAATGGGAGACATGTTGGAGGAAAACAAAAGATCAGCGAAGGACAAGCTGGATTAAGACCAGATCGTAGTTGTGTAGACCATGTATATACGTTGAGTAAAATTATCCAAGATCGGAAAGACGCCGGACGTACGACATACTGTTTCTTCCTAGATGTACAAAAAGACTACGACACCGTTTGGCGCAATGGATTGTGGAAAAAGATGTGGGACATGGGGATCCGGGGGAAAATGTGGAGGATGTTGAAAAAGATGACAGAATGCACAAGAAGTGCAGTGATGTTGGATGGGGAAATCTCGAAGTACGTGGATATACTCCAAGGAGTCGCACAGGGCTGTACGATGTCACCCACTCTTTTCAAGATTTTCATGAACGACTTGATAAGGGCGATTGAAGCNGAAGGGTTGCAGGAACATTTAGATGCGGCAGTAGGATACACCCGAAAATGGAGACTGTCGGCGAACGTNTCATGAACGACTTGATAAGGGCGATTGAAGCAGTAAGACAGGGAGTCCAAGTAGGGGGAAAGAGTGTGTCCGGACTGATGTTTGCACATGATTTCGTGGGGGTATCCGAAACACCAGAAGGGTTGCAGGAACAAATAGATGCGGCAGTAGGATACACCCGAAAATGGAGACTGTCGGCGAACGTAGGAAAATGCGCAGTAGTGGTCTGTAACGAAGACAAGAAAAATCCCGTAGAATTCAAATGGAAATGGGGGGAGGAAGAACTACCGGTAGTAGACAGGTATACGTACCTGGGAGTAGAGATTTCGAAGGAGTGCTCATGGGACGCACACATAGCAAAGTTGATTGGGAAGGGTAAAGCTCAGATAGGCAAGATGGACGAGATCCTTACGGACCCACACCTAGACACTAGGATTAAGAGGTGTGTTCTCTTGAATGTGATTGTACCTAAGCTAGAGTATGCAGGAGAGGTATGGGAAGGTAACGAAAAGGCCGTCAAGCAGCTGGAAACGGTGCAGATGGCAGCGGCCAAGAAAATACTAGGATGTTCAAGTACAACGAGCAACACTGTATTGAGAGCAGAGCTGGGAATGTACTCTCTTAAAACAAAGAGAGACATGTAAAAGTTGAATTGGCAGTACAAGGTAAGTAGAATGTCGGACGATCGACTACCAGATATGGTTGACAAGGCAGCTTGGGGAAAAGCGACTCCAGGGAAGAAAGGAATCAGATGGGACAAGGTTGTAGAGAGGGTTTGGAAGGAGATAGGAGACGAGGAGGAGACATTGGACAAGGAAGGGTTCGGGGGGTTCAAGAAGAAAGTCAAGGAGATGCTAGAAAGTAGGGAGGAGGCAACCCTTCGGAAGAATGTACGAAGTGAAGACCACTTGGAGATGTACGGGAAGTTGAAAGAAGGGATAGGGATGAAGAGTTACTTGGAAGGCCCCATCCCCATCCCTTATTATCTGAGTCGATTTTGTTGCATCGCGGAGCACAAAAAGCATGATATGGGACGGAAAATTCATTTTTAAGATTTGCGCTTCGAGCGAGATTTAGGTGTACCGTTTGTCACTTGAAGGCGGGCCCTTCCTATTATTGGAATCTCTCGCGGAACGAGACAAACTTCCCCAACTGCTGTCCTCCTGGCTGTCTTTTTTCTCTTCGCCTTCGTTGCGCTTACGTTCCTCCTCCCTCTGGTTTTTGAACGCTTGCTCGTAAATTTCATCCATCTCAGTTTCACCACTCTCTGTGTGTGGTGTGTGGACCATCATTACTTTACACCGCCCCCCGGAGTAGCGTTGAAAAAAAAAAAACTAACTTCCTCCGGTGCGTCAATTTCCCCCCGGGGGGGTTGGTTTCAGAAAAAAAAATAACATCCCCTCCCCGGGAGGAAAACTCGGACGTTTACGGTAGGTTTGACGAAGCTGTCCCGTGACTAAAACTACAGTCGGTCTCTAAATGTCAGTAGCCTTGGCAGGGTTTGTCGTGCATTGTAAGTTGGGTTAGGGGTAGGGTTAGGGAATAGGGTCTGCGTCCCCCCTCCCTGTTCTATTTTCTCATAAGATTATGAATCGCGCGAAGGCGGTCCCGAAATGTGGCGGTGGTGCAGCTGAAAATGACCGCCTGATAGGGCCAGCCGCCTTATCCAATGTGTAGAGAACAAACTTGATTATTCAGTCTTCGCCAGCCAAATTCACCAGCCTTATGAAGGGCGACTGCCGTATGCAGACCGCCTTATTCGGGGACCCCCACTACACTGTACAGCTATTTCGTCCCGTGTATTGTAGACGTACCGTCATGGTAAAAAGCGTAACCGTGTATTTATAGAAGCCGAAACTAATCCATTAACGGTTTGACTTCGGCTTATATATGCCGTCCCGCGAAGGCGCACCTTTCCAAATGGCCGTACCGCCTCAAGGAGGGTGACTGTTCCGTCTGGTCAAGTTGGCACCTTCTCCTGTTGACACCTTCTTTCCGGTATCTCGTGGCTGTCTAAACCTATGAGCGCCCAGCCCCCGCTCCCCTCCTTCTTTTTCATTGTGTAGCTTGGTACAAACCATGCCCGCTGTACCGCACCTCATTTTGTCATTTCAGTGTATTTGGCCATGTACCTCATTTCGTCTTATTTTTTGTCTTGTTGCCCCTACACTCATGCCCCCCCCCCCCCTTTTTCCAGTGTGACTTTGTAGGTACTCCCTCCTGTATCGTACCTCATGTTGTCCTTTTCATATTTGTATGCACACATACCTCATTTCGTCTTTTTGTTTGCCTTTTTTGGGGCGGATTGATTATCTGTTGTCTTTGCCCTGTTGGGGCCCTCGCCCTCTTGTTCTAGGGCAACTTCGTAGATATATTGCTCCCTGTAGCGTGTACCTCATTTTGTCATATTTTTTGTTTTCGTACATGAGTTATGTTCTTTTTTAACGTTTCCTCATTTCGGCATGTTTATTTTTAAATTCTCTCATTTTTTTTTCTTCTCTCCCCCTAGATTTCCATCATCTGGCGAGACTGCGGTGAGGGAGGAGGACGTGCTCAAGTTTTGCTTTCCTGACAGGGAAGCCATCAAGCCTTCCAGGTGGATTCGCACGCTGCGTTTTGCTTGGGACATTATTGGCCAGGCGTCGACGCTTCGAGAAGCTGTTGCATATATATATATATATATGCATCCCTGTTCTTTGTAGCCTATTAACGTTCCCAAAGATGCCCCCCCGACACACACACATCGGCGTCCCCGATGATTTTTCTTTTTTCCACAGAAAAACGATGCAATGTTTTCTGATTTCGCGCCTGTGTTTGTTTCTCCCTTCCCTATGGTCGTCCGTTGTGTTTCGTGTTTTGTTGTCGCCTCGAAGGCCGGCGAATTTCGTGGCGGAAGAGTTCGTGTTCGTGGTGACGGATGCCTCAGGAGCTAAGGCCTACGGATTCTGCAGGAGGGTGCTCCCATGCGGCACGGGCGGCAGGTGAATTTTTACCCGCTGCCAGACATAGTTTCGTTGTGACGGGTGGCATGGATGGCTGATGACTGCTTTTACAGTGGTAACCACGGGCGCGGAGTAGGACGACCGTCTATTGTGATGCGCAAAGTAACGTGAATCCCTTCTGACTGTTGTTTCCGTTTATGACACAAGATATCACACCCCCTGGACCGATTTTTCAAATCTTGATTTCTCAACAACAGAAAGAGTCGCGGCGCCGCGAACGGCGGCGTTGGAACCGTTTCGTCCAGAGCTTGCCAAAAATGTATCGTTTCGTTTATGCATCCTCTTCGTCGTGGAGTAATCGAGCTTCGACAATTGGTCCAGGGGGTGTGTTATCTTGTGTCATATACGGTATATCGTTTTGTACTGCGGTATCAGTAGTGGTCTGGTTCGTTGCTTTCCTGCCGTATTTTATTGTCGAGCGTTGGTAGTGTTGTCGGAGCGTGCTGTAGCGCTGTTTGGATGAAAAACTGTCGTACATAGCTTGGAGGCTGCACGTACACCAACGGCGCTACCGTCCAGTCGGTCCGTCGACCCTTCGTTTGACGAATTGAACTTAACCCCGTCGAATACAAAACAGTCCATTTGAACTTCCCTCTGCGAAACTCAAACAACCTCGTTGAACCTTTATCCGAAGGCCATTGACATCGAATTGCAATACATTTTACCCAGTCGAACTGAACGGTGCTGCTGTCCATTGTCCACTATGGCATCAGGTACGACGTCGGACGGTGGCGGTTGCCCGAGTGCCTCTGCCTGGTCAGCCGAAGACCGTTTTTCGGGATCTTCAACAGCGTACTCGCGGCAGGGCAGGCCCTCCGGCTGCTCCAACAGGCACATCCCACACAAGGTGACGGTGTGAAAGACGGCTTGATGGTCTTAGTCCTTCGGCAGGCACAGCCGAGAGAAGGGGATGATATGAAAGACTGCCCTTGATGGTCTTAGACCTTCGGCAGGCACAGCCGACAGAATGTGACGTGATGAAAAGACGGCAGATTTTGTTCCGAATGCCGTCTTAGTCTCTGGTGCTTTGGGCATTCAGGTTGTGTTAGCCCTTAAGCAGGCTCACCGGTCACAAAGTGAAGTAATAAAAAGATGCCAAATTTCGTGTAAATTTGCGTCTTGATTGTCCTTTGTGGTCTTTGCTGTCCATGGTGGTTTTAATTATCCTTGAGTGCCTTTGGCAATGAATGGTGTGATCACCCTCGGACGAATGGCGCCGCGCTCGTTGCTCTTCTTCTTCGCCGGTTGGGGGGATTGGTCTCATGGCGTCCTCTTATGTTGTGCACGCCTTAGCGGCTGGACCATTGGCCACGCGTCCTAGAGAGGATGGAACGATGTTCCCACACTAGACCGCTGACCGACGGCCAATCGTCTCTTATTCATTTGCATACAGTGAGGGTGCGTCAGTATCGCCGGTTGGTTAGCACCGGTGGCCCTGTGTAGCGCCGGTGAAATCGCTGGGAACAGACTGAATCGCCAAGTCATTTTGTTCGTTGAGTAGAGCCAGCCCCTCGAAACAGCACCCGTCGATGCACCGGGCACATATAGGCGTTGTTGAGGGGGGCCGACTGCATGCACCATATTGGAGGAGTGTGTCTTGATAGTATATTCCCTTGCAGGTGAAAACGGCGGCCAGCAACGGAGATGAACCAACGCAAACACATGAATCCGCCAAAAGAGGGTACTTTCCACCCCAACGCGTGTGCGTTCCTCAACCCTTACCAGGTGAAAGCGGCGGTCAACAACAAAGATGGAACAACAGCAGTAGCTCGCCAACCAGCAGCAGCAAGCTGGAGGGTTTGCTAGCGGAGCTGTTGGCGAGAGGCGTGCGGGGAGGGGACGTGCCTGGCCCCGGGCAGGAGCTGGTGGCGAGTGGGCTGCGCTTCGTGCAGCCGGTGGACGAGCACATGAGCCTCAACGACGTCCCTGTTATCCCTCTGCTGGTGAGTTGTGTTTTTTCACACTGGTGCTCGTGTTGTTGTTGTTGTTGTTGCTGGCACATGAGCGTCAACAGCGTCCCTGTTGCCTCTCTGCTGTACGTTGCTGTTTATTGTTGGTACTGGTGCTGGTGCTGGTGGTCGTTGTTGTTGTCGTCGGTGGTGGTGCGTGTTGTTTTTTCACATGCTGTGTGTTTTGTTGCTGTTGCTGCTGCTGCTGCTGCTGCTGCTGCTGCTGCTGCTGCCGCTGCCGTTGCTGCTCCTGCGGACTACTACCGGTGCCATTGCTCTTCTTGTTGTTGTTGCTCATATAGGGGATTCATTCGAAAACCTAGAGATGCTCTATTGTGGCAATGTTCTTGCTTGTAGGGAAAAAGACGTACTACTGTAGGTGTTGGATAGAGGGCGAAGCGATTCGACTTGTAAGGACATGAAATTGTCACCAACAGCCCAACACGAACGCGGAAACATCTGTAAGCAACCTCTTGGACCTAAATGCCCTCAAGACGCGAGGTCTTTTCTTCACCTCTTCTCCTGCAAGACCAACCCCCCGATGGCTAGAGGATGGAGCGATTTACCACGCGGAGGCATCAAGCTAACAGCTAGAGGATGGAGCGATGTACTCTGTGGAGGCATCAAACTAACACCAGCAAACCACGATAACGCCGAGAAAATCAAAGCAAACCTGTGCAGCCCACAACCTCCCGTACCATAAGACAGAGTGATTTCCCACGTAAATGCATCAACACCATCAATACTTGTCCTTACGATGGGGTGGCCCGCTATTTCACCGCAGGTACGACTGGGGCCCCGCAACTTCCTCCGCCTGTGGTCGGCCATCCTTTGCGAGAGGCGAGTTCTGCTGGTGGCGGACGAGGTCCGGACTCTGTCGTGCTGTGTGCACGCCGCCATGGCGATGCTCTACCCCTTCGCGTGGCAGCACGTCTTCATTCCCCTCCTGCCGACCGACATGCTGGAGTACGTGTCCGCGCCCATGCCGTTCGTCATCGGGGTGAGTCAATTGACGCCATCTAGAGTCTGGTAGCGCTTCGAAGGGTTATGTGTGAGGCTGTTAGGGACCGTGTAACGCGTTAAGGGTGGTACCGGTTTCTTAGGGTCGTGGAATCCCTGAGAAGTCAGTCTTGAAATGCCCTTCGTCGTCGGGGTGAGTCAGGAGACGCTTTTTGAGAGTCTGGTGGCGCTTGAAATATTATGTGTGATGCTGTTGATGTGTCGTGCAATGCGCGGTGAAGAGTCGTGTAGATGGCAAAGGTCGTGGAATGCGGTTCGTCATCGGGGAGAGTCTGGAAGTCGGTTCTCAGGTAGAAAAGTAGCGGCCTGGCGCCGCTTTTTCCAAAATAGAAAGTTGCTTTCAGGAGACGACATATACTTCGGATGAAGGTTCCAGCTCTGGTAACATTCCTCACAAGCGCGGGGACATCGAGTCCTTAAATCTGGGAAGCGGCTTTCACATTTACAAAGTAGAGGCCCTTCACCGCTTTCCTCTCAATCGAAATTTGCTTTCAGGAGACGAAATAGATTTTGGAAGCGCAAGCAAAGACCCACATCCACCACAACAGCAGTATTGTCTGATGTAGTGGTGGGGTAGCCTGATGTAGTAGTGGGGTAGCCTGATGTAGTAGTGGGGTAGCCTGATGTAGTAGTAATCAAACTCCGTGCACCACGGAAAGTGCTGTTGTGCGGACTCCATCGCTGCCAACGAAGTCCAGACCTACTGCACATCTATCTGGCAGTTGTCTGCGGGTTGGAAGTGGGGCATTCCAAGGAAACGAGCATGCGTGTGTTGGAGCATCGTCTGTCTGTTGTTGCTGCTGGGTTGTCGCTGGGCGAGAGAAGAAGGACCAACAGACGGAGAACGAGAACATCGACCCTGTCTCTACTTAAGACACGAATTGAATGCAGGCACACAGGCAGACGGTCTCTACTGTGTGACGGTTGTGTTGGTTGCTGCTGATGCTCTCTCCATCCTCTATCGTGAAAAAAAAAAAATGTCTGCCTGTTTTTCGTGTGACATTGCAAGAACCAGATTGTAGGCTCCTCCATCACCCTCCGCACAGGTTGACCCGGTGCAGCCCCTAAACTACCTGCGTGGTCTGTGTCAATCTCCTCACCAGCAACCTCCTCTGACGTGATGTTGCAGAATGCATGCATGGCAGACCACGGCCGTGTCGGGCGGCGTGTGATGTGACGTTTCGATGCAGCAGGTGTCCCTTATTTTTTGTTCTGCCGCCTTGGTCGCCCAGTCGTGTTTTTTGCTTCCGCGTTCAACCCCGTGGTCTCGACAAAAACTAAAAACTCCCGGAACGATCGCTCTTCCTGAATCTAGAAGTCGCCTTCCGAAATCTTACGTTGTCGTCTGCGTTCCGAAATCGTCTACTATCATGTACTGTTGTTGGACATGTTTAGTCCTTGATTTTGGGGAGGTTAAGTAGATAGTGACGGTGAATACTTACGTCTCTCTCCACTTGAAGAAGCCTTTGACTTCGCCCATTACCTGCTGGATGACGCCTTTCAATGTGTACATTGTGCAGTCCACGGTTGAATGCAACCGCGTTTGTATTCAACCGTGAGCTGCACAATGGATATCTTGGTGGAAGTCACCAGGGAGTAGTAGACGGAGTCAAGGGCTGCTTCAAGTGGAGAGAGACGCATGTATTCACCTTCACCATCTACTCTGCCTCCCCAAAACCAAGAATTGATCATGCCCACAAAAAACACACGATCAGTGTTTGGATAACCAAACGTGCACTGCACAATGGATACCTTCGTAGAAGTCATCGGCAGTAATGAAGGCAGTCAAAGGCTTTTTTTCACTTATTTGAGACGTATGTTGTCATCGTGTCATAGAATATACGTCTGTTGGACATGTTTAATTCTTGGTTTTGATGAGGTTGAGTAGATAGTGACGGTGAATACTTACGTCTCTTCTCCACTTGAAGAAACCTTTGACTTCGCCCATTACCTGCTGGATGACGTCTTTCAATGTGTACATTGTGCAGTCCACGGTTGAATGCAACCGCGTTTGTATTCAACCGTGAGCTGCACAATGGATATCTTGGTGGAAGTCACCAGGGAGTAGTAGACGGAGTCAAGGGCTGCTTCAAGTGGAGAGAGACGCATGTATTCACCTTCACCATCTACTCTGCCTCCCCAAAACCAAGAATTGATCATGCCCACAAAAAACACACGATCAGTGTTTGGATAACCAAACGTGCACTGCACAATGGATACCTTCGTAGAAGTCATCGGCAGTAATGAAGGCAGTCAAAGGCTTTTTTTCACTTGTTTGAGACGTATGTTGTCATCGTCTCATAGAATGTACGTCTGTTTAGTCCTTGATTTTGGGGAGGTTAAGTAGATAGTGACGGTGAATACTTACGTCTCTTCTCCGCTTGAAGAAGCCTTTGACTTCGCCCATTACCTGCTGGATGACGTCTTTCAATGTGTACATTGTGCAGTCCACGGTTGAATGCAACCGCGTTTGTATTCAACCGTGAGCTGCACAATGGCTATCTTGGTGGAAGTCACCAGGGAGTAGTAGACGGAGTCAAGGGCTGCTTCAAGTGGAGAGAGACGCATGTATTCACCTTCACCATCTACTCTGCCTCCCCAAAACCAAGAATTGATCATGCCCACAAAAAACACACGATCAGTGTTTGGATAACCAAACGTGCACTGCACAATGGATACCTTCGTAGAAGTCATCGGCAGTAATGACGGCAGTCAAAGGCTTTTTTTCACTTATTTGAGACGTATGTAGTCATCGTCTCAAAGAATGTACGTCTGTTGGACATGTTTAATTCTTGGTTTTGGGGAGGTTGTGATGGTGCTGACGACCAACATGTACTCGCTCACTTGAAGAAACCTTTGACTCCGTCCATTCCCTGCCGGATGACTTCTGCGAGCGTACCCATTGTGCAGTCCACGGTTGATTACCGACGCGTTTGTATCGACCGTGAACTGCATTATGGATATCTTCGTTCGAGGTACTAGGGAGTAGTGGACGGAGTCAAGGGCTCATTTCGAGTGAATGGATACGTACCATGTAGTCATCGTCTCATAGAATGCACGTCTGTTGGACATCTTTTGTTCATGGTGTTGTTTAGGAGGTTGAGTGGGTGGTGACGACGAATGCATCCGTCGCTCACCGCTTGAAGAAGACCTTGACTCCGTCCATTCCTTGTCGGTGAGTTGTACGAAGGTATCCGTTGTGCAGTTCACCGTTGAATACAAGCGATTTTTCTTCAACTTCACAGTGGACACGTTCGTAGAAGTCACTAGGGAGTAATGAACGGAACCAAAGACTTCTTCAAAGTGGAGAGAGTCGCATGTGTTCAGCGACACCACCCAAAACCAAGAATCAAGGATATCCACCAAAAATTCACTATATATCATTGCTTTGGCACTTGTATCCAACCTTGAACCGCAAAATGGGTACATTCACATATTTTTGCGTCCCCAAAACGAAACAACTCAACACCAAAGCAGAAGCGCGCCCCAATGTTTTTGTTTTGGTTTCAGGTGTTGTTTTGTTTTCAGATACGGGAACGCTATTGACGTCTACGAATATGTTCGTTCATTTCGGAGATCGCCGCCTCTTGAAGCGTGACATCGACACTGGAGCACCTTGATCGTTACATCGACCCTTGAACACTGTGCACCTCTTCAGGTGCCACATAATTCTTGACGAGCATCTTCACTCACCTCGATATCGAAAGGCATGGCATGATACGACCCTCACGCATGATAGGGGACCCTTTGGCACATTCACCCTCTCACGCATGATATACGACTCGTGCGCATGATGCGAAGTACAGATTCTTCGTATGGTGTCTATTTTTGCAGATAGCGGGGGGGTGATGTGGCTTCTTTCTTTCGACTTGAAGAAGCCTGTTGACTTTGTTTATTTCTTCGTGGGTGGCTTGTACGAAAGTATACGTATCCGTTATTCACTTCACGGATGAACCAAATGGCTATTAATTCGTTCCCTCATCAAAGATGGCTTGGATAACGGAGCCCGGAGAGATTCCTACGAATGGCATCCGACATGCACTTCAAGGATGAAAAAATTGGAAAAACATTCGTGTTTCGCCACTTGAAGAAGCCCTTGACTCCGCTTATGAAGACATGATAACTTTCTACAAGCTGCATCCATTATGCAGTTCACGGTTGAACAATACTCTTCAACAGTGCACCACACAACGTATGCATTCGTAGGTTTGTTTCAGAGCTTGGTTGATTTTTGTAGCGAATTCGTACGGCTCTCACCATTCGTAAAAGCCATTGACCTCATTGAGCAAGCCCTGAGAAATTTCTACAATTATGCAGTTCGCAACTATTCAGTCGTGCATTACACAATGGATACATTCGTAGAAATTTTGTCCAGGCCTTGGTTGATGGAGTCTTCGGCTTCTTCGAGTTTGAGAGGCGTGTGTATTTATCTTCACCATCACATGACCTCTCCCAAACGAAAAAATAGAGAAAACGAGTGACAGTAAAAGGAAAAGATGCTCGACTTGCCAGACATCTACCAGGTATCCTATGCAGTGGCGGCTACGGTTTAAGAGAGACTATTGAAGAGAAAGTACCGATTTGAGAGAGTCAAACTGGCTTGTCACGACCATGAGACATACATACATTCGCAGTACGGTTCATGAGAAAACCGGATTCAAGAGAGAAATACTGGATTGTCCCGACCCTCTCTCTAACCGTAGCCGCCGATGCAAGTGTAGTTCCGTAAGGATGCGAGAGAACGCATGGCTCCCACGTACCGATGATGCCGCACCCTCGTACATGTTGAGGTGAGGTGCTCCTAATGGTTCAGACGCGTCAGCCAAGGCTCTAGTCTACCACCGTACGTGACACGACACAAGATTCCACACACCCCTGGACTGATTTCCCATACCATGATGGTTGTACCATACAATTATGGTATTTCCGTACCATAATGGTAATACCGTTGGTGACACAAGATATCACACCCCCATCGACCGATTTTCAAACCTCGATTGCTCGACAATCAAGCGAGGGAACTCGTGGTTTCGCAATCTTTACGTGGAGGGCTTGACGTAGACGTGTCTATCGCGCCTTTCCGCACCCCCTTGTATGGGGAAAATCGAGCTTGTAATCATTGGTCTAGAGGGGAGGGAGGGATATCTTGTGCCACCTACGGTAATGGAAACGCCATTATGGTATAGGAAATCGTTTCAGGGGGGGTGATATATTGTGTTGCCTACGTTAGTCTGTTCCCTTGGCCCATTGCAATCACGAGATGGTACATGCTTGTACATGTGTCGAGCGATATTGCGTTCCACACAGTTTCGTCTGACGCCCGTGGCTGAATGAACTTTACCCAATAATATATTACCTGAAGTAGAAAATAAAGGTTTGCGTTTCTACCATAGCGCTAGGGTTCAACACAGTTACAAGAACTATCTGACACCGGTGTAGTACGCATGTATATATTTCGTTATTTCTTTTCGAAAACTGAAAAAAATGCGAAACCGTGGGTGTGTGTTTCGTTCGTTACACACAAGGTCCGCACGTCTCAGCTGGAGTCTGTGAAGCGCCAGCCAATGAGCGAGGCCGTTTTCGTCCATCTGGACAGGGGAGAGCTCACGGGATCGACGGGGATGGCCCCTGTCCCTGACATCTGTGACGGTGAGATAAAAATGCCCTCCGACACTATTTTAGTATACCTTTTTAGGGTAAGTTAGCCTGTGAACAGGGGGATCGACAGCGTTAAGTGGCAGACGAGTACGGACAGATGAAGGTACTGGAGAGAGCCCGAAACGGTGTCAATGTGAAGACACAACAACAAATCAAAAACCGGGTAGGGAAATCGGAATGGTTTTTATTCTCAAGATCCCAACATGTGGAGGGTGTTCTACTATGAGGAGGTAGCAGCATGGTGTTTGTTTTTTTTTTTTCTCCCATCATTGGACTCTGTCGTCTGCCCCTCTGGCCCCTATCCTCCACTTCTACTAGCTAGACGACCCAACCGGGGTCACATAGGAGGGGGGGGTTGGACCCCCTCCTGCGGTTCATGCCTGAGGTATTTTTATCGCGAGAAGGGTACAGCAATCCCTTCCCTCGCGACTTACGAAGTCGATTATGGTTTACTAACTTTTGAGCTGTGCAGCGCGTCGCTTTCATCCTAGACCAGGATTTATTTAGTGAGACATGGTTGTTTTGTTTTGGCGTTGCCAGACGCGTTGTTTCGGGCATCCCCTGAGCATTTCTTCCAGGGGTGAAGCAAAGCCTGATACCTTCTTATCCTCATGCCACCGGTCACGATTGCTTTGCTGGAGTACAAGACCCGGTGGGAGTACACGGCACTAGTGCTGTGAGCGCTGATTTCAAGTGAAGACAAAAAAACAAAAACAAAAAAGGCCCGGCACCCTTTTTTTTTTGTCTTCCCTTCAAAAGAGTGCTCACGGCGTTTGTGCCGCTTTGCTCCAACCCGTGGTCATACAGAAGGGTTCCTCTCCCTGAGGCCCCCTGCCCAACCCACCCCTCCTGCGGTACTTTGACTCGATATTTAATGCGAGAAGAGTGCAGCACTCTCTTCCTTCTGTGTACACACATCTGCAATTCAGTATTGTCGCTTTTCCCTCTGTCGCACGTCAATTCTGGGCATCAATTCAGAGTGTAACGTTCAGCGTATCTGCCGTGTGACGCGCATCTTGCGCCCTGCCTGTCTCTGTCGCTTTCAGGAGTGAAGGAGCACCTGGCTTCGGCGACCCAGAAGCTAGACAGAGCCCTCGGGAAGCTGGCCCTCCTCACACGTGGTGGCAACAAAGACGGCGGCGACAGAGGGTGAGACAGAAGAACAATCCCGCCACCGAAAGCAATATGCGTTTCGTTTGTTTGTCCGCAAGGAATGGTTATGTGTATTTACAAACCCAACACTGGTGATAGTAATTGTCGACACCTGTACTTCCTACCACCTGAATTAGATGTAAAAAAACCACCTACGATTTTGATGCTCAAGACCTCAAGAGCAGCGTTGGGTTCCTTCCTGCCATGTCCTTACCCGTCGGTTGTCAGGATGATGCCTCATGCGCCTGATGATGCACAGGTCTCGTTTTTTGTCTTCTTTTTTCAAAGACAGACCACGAGGCGAGCGCGTCTATATTAAAAGGAATGACGGAGGACGGTAGCCACGTCGTCTATCTGTGGTTGGGATGATGTATTATACGTCTAAACAGGCGTTTTTTTCGTCACTTTTCGTTTTGGTCACTCGTTTTTTCCCCATGTTTTTTTTCACGTCTTGTTTTTTGTCTGATTAACCAGGCCTCGAGACGAGCGCGTCGGTTCAAAAGGCATGACCAAGGATGGCATCAACGACACCGCAAGTACCCTTTTCGCCGAGGTCAAGGCGATATTTTCCAAAGCCAAAAAGCAACGACCAGCCGGAGGAGGCGGGTGAGCTGTTTTTCTGCTCATGTCCTTTGTTTTTGCTCTTTTTTGTGATTCGTTTGTTGCTCTTGGCAAATCCTCTAGTCGTCTTTGGGGCAACGATTCCCTGATTAGAAGAGGGCCGGCAATAATGTTTGGCCAGGTTTGGAGGCCAAAGTTCTACAATCTCGTGTTGCTTATGGTTGCAGTCGCGTGAGGCGGATACCTCTTCCCTCGCATTCCGTGCGGTAGAAGCTCTCGTACACGTTCACGTTCTTTTGTCTGCAGCACTGAGATGGCGACCCTATTCTTTACTCACATTTCATACATTGCTAGAATACTCCCTCATGTTTTGCTCTTTCTTCCGTGTGCGCATCATGACCCCTACATATCCTTGGCATTTCATAACACTGCACCCCGCCCCCCTTGATGAATCTGTCGTCGGTAGTGGTGAGATCGTGACGCCTATGTATCCCCCATGTTCGATAACCCTCCGCCCCCCCGTGTTTGTTTTTTTTTGGCAGCGGTGAGATCGTGACCTCTATGTATCCTCGCATTTCCTGCAGTTCTACCTCGGGGGCCGGCCCTCATGATGCATTTTGTCTGTGGTGCTGACATGTCGACCGTTTCATGCAGGGCTACCACCGCGCTCATGATAAGCTTTGTCTGTAGTGGTGAAGTATTGACCCCTGTCCTCGCATTCATGTATCACTACCCCCGTGTGTGATTTGTATGCAGCAGTGAGATGGTGACCCCGGAGGATCATTCTCTTAGAGAAGCTCTCGTGGGTTTCAACATCGGGCTGTTCGGCGACCACCGGACTATCCTTCGGAGGCAGCCCGATGCATCCGTCAAGGTCGATCACGACTACTTCATAAGGTAAGGTGACTGGTCACGACTTCCAACCTGCGGTAGTCCCTCGCATTGCACCTGACGTTGTACAGAGAAACGTAGTTTGTAGAGTTCGGTAAGTGTTTTTGACTGCTCTTCATCAGCACTAGACTACCTAATGAGGTATCTGATCGCGGCTGGACTCCTTCATGTCGTATAATAAACATCAAGGTCGATCACGACTACTTCATAAGGTAACTTCATAAGGTAAGGTGACTGTGTACGACTAAATAGACTACTTCATACGGTGGTTATTAGCGACTACTCCTAATCAGGTAGCTGATCGCGGCTGGACTGTAAGGTGAGGTAACTATTCATGACGTCTTCATACGGTACGGTTGCTGATCGCGACTAGTTCATACGGTACGGTATTTGTTCACGACTACTCTTATGAGGTAGCTGATCGTTGATGGACTCCTTCATACGGTAGGGTTACTGTACCTGGCTAGACTGCTTCACAAGGGGAGGTAATCGTTCTGCACGACTACTCGTAGGGTAACTGAGGAAGGACGATTGCCTGGCGCCTCAAACTGGCGCGTTTGTTGTATGCAGACATGACATTGCCTGACCAATTTGGGTCGACCACGACCGAGCGTATATATCTCAATGATAGTGGCATCGGGTGTTGTTTTGGCTTTTGCTCTGCTCCGTTCTTCGTGATGATGATGAAGGTATCGCGAACAGAGGGGAGACTCGGAGGGAGTGCTACGCTTCCTGAAGGAGTTCGCGCAGAGCCAGATGTTCCACATGCACATGATGCACGTTAAGGTCAGTTCGTCGCATGCGTTCGCGAGAACATCACCCAAGTATTTGGTATCATGAAGGCCGCAAGTTCCTTGTTTCATTCTTCCACAAGGGAGGGCAGAACATTTTGGGGGGCGTTTTTTTATGACTCTCCAGCAGCTGTTTGGACCTTCAATCATTTAATTTTTTTAGTTTTGGCGTTGGACAGGTCATACAGGGAGTGCATGTGGTCAATGATCGTGATTGGCGGTGCTTGTTTTTCGAGATTAATGGTGTCGTCGGGATGGGAACTGCTCGGTAGACCTACAACTCTGTTTCCTTTGAGCGAAGCTTCTGGGCGATACCCGCGAGCGATGACGGGTGCGAAGATTTCCCGCGACGCGATTGTGCTTGTGATCGACATCCAGGAGGGCTTTGTGGTATGCTTTCCCCCCAAAACTCCTGTTGCTAGCATTTGTTCCCTTTGCGGCGTGGTCGTTTGCCCCGGTTCCCGCTGCTCCGTGTGGTTGCTATTGGTGTTGCTGCTGCTGCCGCCTACTACGGCTGCTGTTCCTCGTGCGTGGCTGCCGCTAACCACTGCTACTGCCGCTGCTGTTCCTCCTGCTTCTACCTGCCGATGGTGCTGCTTTCCATTCCGCCCTTCCTCGCACCCACGCCGCAGGACCGACTGCGCGACAAGCAGAACCCATGCACCCCGAGCCCCAGCGACGGAGCACGAGACCACCGCCATCACCCCTCCCCCGCGACCTTCCTGCGCGTGAGCGACCAGCTCACCCTCAGGGGTGGGTGGGGCGACGCGAATGGGAATGGGGGGGGGGGCTTCGCACCCGCCTCGGTCAAGAGGGCCCTGAGCAAGGTGTTGGCGGAGGCGTTGCCAGCCGGGTCCGGTGAGGTTTCCGATTGGGTAAGGTACCACCCATCCACCCACCCCGCCGACCGGTGTTTAGGGCTCAATCATGCTGTTGTGTGCATCAAAGCCTTGCAACGCTACCGCTGTAGTAGCATTTTTGAAATGTTGGAAGTGGCGGCTGGTATGTTGTCATTTTTCGTTGCCTATGCCGTTGTCGTTGTTGTCTGCACATCAACAACCGTTCCGACCTCTCTAACCAGTGCCTTCATCTGTCGGTGCGAATCCAACACTTGACGCTGTCGATTCCTGTGGTGACGGGCTAATTTACCCCAAAAAGGGCGCCCTCAGATAGAAAGGGTCCCGAAGGCCCGAAGGGTCCGCAAGTCAATAAAAATCAGCGACAGGTAGTCTGCTCGTGCTCGATGTTGTGTGTGTGTGTTGAGCTCGATGGTGTCCGTGGCGCGCTGTAGAATATTGCTCACCAACGCCTGCTGTGTAGTGTTTGGTATTTTGAGTCTGTGTCATCCGATTCACTGCATTTTATCTGTGAAATCGGAAATGTTAAGTGGCAGCTTACATCTTGCTGGTCCTGGCCTATGTTTTGTCTCTTTATGTCGGGGGTGGTTTCCTGATAACACGGTTGTTCTCCCTCGCCCCCACCCCGAAGACACCACCTGTGGACAAAACGAAGGTATTGCGTGCACTTGCCTGGAGATCATAATTATTTCCCTTGCAGTTTGTGTAGCCGATATTTATTTATTTGAGTTTTGTTTTGGGTCGAACTTGACTGCAGGTTCCAACTCCTACGGTGACCCGACTTTGAACCCGAGGGCCCTCGCTGCTACAGCTAACGGCAACGCTTCCATCAAGGACATGGCCAAACTCAGGGCCGAGCTTTGCAGGTGAGAAGAAGTAAGGCGAGGTCGTTGTGGAGCTTTAACGGGTGGTGCTTCCCGTAGCAAGCGAGATTGTTTGGGCGCAACAAATTGGGGATCAACGCGAAAAGGGTCGATTGGCCACTTTTTGAGGGACTTCTTTTTTTTTTATTTGTCCGGTCTCGCGAGGTGGCGGAGGTGGGAGCGAAGGATAAGGAGTGATGACAGCTTTAGAGGGTTTGGTGGGCGTACGTCAAGTGTTGCACGTTGGCCACGCGTCTTCGAGAGGACGGAGACTATCTTATCTGTATCAGGACGGGGTTTTGCGGGTCGAGATCAATGTTAATTATGCCTTGTGTTGACAGGACTGTACGACGACTGATTGTGCCGTGTTGCGCCCCTTTGCTGCTCTGCAGTGTGTTGTGTTGTTGACTGTGTATATTTTTTTGGGTCGAGATGGATCATTAACCGATTTGTTCACTGTCCAAGCCCCTGCTGCGTGAAACAGTCCGTCGCTACCGAGCGTCGTCACATTTGTTGGGCCATTCGTGGGCTCCGCTAGACACGTTGACGAAGGACCATATTCGCGTTCACGGCCGATGCATGTCGGTGCTTCGCGTGATGCTGTAGGTTGTTGACTGTTGCTTTGTGCGGATCTAGATCACTTTCGATTCTGCGTTGTGGCGATCAGCTGCACCCTTTGCTGCCGTTATGTGCTGTGGGCGGTTCACCATTGTGTTTCGCGGATCGAGGTCAATTTCGATTCTGCGTTGTGGTGACCAGCTGCACCCTTTTGCTGCCGTTCTGTGGTGTGCTGTGCCGTGGTGTGCCGTGGTGTCTCGCGGTTTGTTGACCTCCCTTTCCGCAGGACTGCGAGAGAGTCGGCCAAGCTGAGCGGAATCATGCGTGTGGTGTGGGCGAGACTGCTGGACTGCCGCGGCAACAAGTGAGGATGGTGTCTCGCACACCGTACGATATCATATAATGCACTACTTTACGATACGATATCATACCATACACTACTTTTTACGATACAGACACTGTGTATTTCGATACGGTATCGTGCCATATATGCATACAACTTTTTTTCTTCCAGCCTTCGGAAGGTGGTGCCGCACACACGATACGATACGATAGTTCGTACGAATTGTTTTCTTACAGCCTTCAGAGGGAGGTGACGCGCATACAATGCAATGCTATATTTACTACTGGTACCTTTTCACTGTCTGCCGAGAGAGGATACATGCCGGTCGCCCCGGTGGTCTAGTGGGTAGCCTCGCAGTCTGTTGAAAGGCCAGGTCATGGGTTCTAGTCCCGTCAGAGTGAGTTTTTTCTCGCTTATTAGATCCTGGTCTCCGTAGGAAGCGACGCGCTGTAAAGCTCGTTGTTAGTAAACTTGATCGACTTCATAAGTCGCGAGGGAAGGGATTGCTGTACCCTTCTCGCGATAAAAATATCTCACGCAGGAACCGCAGGAGGGGATCCAACCCCCCCCCTCCTATGTGACCCGGGTCGGGTCGTCTAGCTGGTAGAAGTGGAGGATAGGGCCAGAGGGGCAGACGACACTAGCTAGTAGAAGTGGAGGATAGGTCCCATGATGGGAGAAAAAAAATATGTATGGACCACCATGGGAAGGGGGGCGCAGACGATATATAATGCGGTATGGTATACANATCCAACCCCCCCCCTCCTATGTGACCCGGGTCGGGTCGTCTAGCTGGTAGAAGTGGAGGATAGGGCCAGAGGGGCAGACGACACTAGCTAGTAGAAGTGGAGGATAGGTCCCATGATGGGAGAAAAAAAATATGTATGGACCACCATGGGAAGGGGGGCGCAGACGATATATAATGCGGTATGGTATACAGCAGTCGCCCCGGGGGTCTAGTGGGTAACCTCGCAGCCTGCTAAGGGCCAAGTCATGGGTTCGAGTCCCGGCAGAGTGATTTTTTTTCTCACTACATAAATCCTGGTATAGGATCAAAGCGACGCGCTGCAGAGCTCGTTGTTTTATGAACCGTAATCGACTTCGTAAGTCGCGAGGGAAGGGATTGCTGTACCCTTCTCGCGATAAAAATACCTCAGGCAGGAACCGCAGGAGGGGGTCCAGCCCCCCCCTCCTATGTGACCCGGGTCGGGTCGTCTAGCTGGTACAAGTGGAGGATAGGGGCCAGAGGGGCAGACGACAGAGTCCGATGATGGGAGAAAAACAAACAACAAACACAAACATACGTCACGATGCCATTTGCCATGTATTGATAACCAGCGAGCCAGGGAGCCAGCCTTGGGTATTAAGAGAGTCGGGCAACAGAAGCAGTCAACCCCACGGCTAGCCAGAATGTTTGGAAAAGCGGTTCCTCTATGTTTTGTATTTCTGTTAGCGTGCCGGAATATATTATGCTTGCCGCGATGATTGTCCCGCACAGGCGGCCGCACGCCATGTATGCTCTACGGCTGCTGAACCCCCCCCCGCTGACTACCCCCAGCAATTCCAATCCCGCACATGGGTGGCCGCACGCCGTGGAAGAGCTAAGGCTGCTGAAAGCCCTCGATGTAATTACAATTTACCCAACATGCCAATACCGTTCATAGGTGGCCGCACGCCATGGAAAGGCTGAGGCTGCTGAAAGCCCTCGACCTAATTACAATTCCCCCACAAATGCAATCCCGTTCATAGGTGGCCGCACGCCATGGAAGGCCTACGGCTGCTGAAGGCCCTCCTTCTGTCGGGACCAGCGGGGTGCATCGCCGACGCCCTCAACCATGTGCCTCTCATCCGGCGCCTCACGCAGTACCCCAAGGGATGGGAGGATGCGGGAGCGGTGGGGGGGGGTGGGGGGGATGCTGGGAAAGCATCCCCGAGGATCCGGGCCATGGCTCGGGAGGCAAGTTTGTTTTTTGGGCCGTCCATCACTCTCTGGCCGTTGGGTACCAGTTCTAGTTAAGCCCTAGGTTCCGGGCCATGGCCTGGGGGGCGAGTTTGTTTTTGGTGTCATATATCACAAGCTAGCTGTTCGAGTGTTTGTGTGACGCATCAAACGCTAGCTGTTGGATGGCGAATATGCCCTCGGATCGGGGCCATGGCCTGGGGGGCGAGTTGTTTTTGTGTGTCATACGCGTTCCAGCTGTTCGGTACGGCGTTTTCGCTCTTTTTCGTGTACACGGACTGCGCTAGAAAAGAAGCCGTCATCCTGAGACCCGGATTGTTTTGGCCATTATATTGGTGCTGGAATGGCTCGCCTGAGATCCAGGCCATGGCTCGGCGATCACACGATCACACGATCTAGCCATTGGGTACTGCGCCGTCCATGGGTAGCTACGCTTTTCCAACGCAACATTGACGACTCTCTGATGTATTTATTTTGTGTTTTTTGTTGGTTCCACCCAACGGTCGCAGGTGGTGACGCTCATCATGGACATGAAGAGACTGGCCTTGCGCCGCGAAGCGGTAGCGAACCTCGAGCAGCGGGAGGCGGACAGGGCAGCGGGGCTCCCGGAGAAGATCAAGCTCCGTAGCCGGTACGGCCGTTAGCAACGTACTGGACCCCGCGGCTTTGCTTTTCCGAAATCAAAACCAAACCGATAGACCAGTCGAAATGTTTACGGGCGAACTGATAGCATGATATCCCAAGGATATGCCCGTTGTATTTGTAGGTGGATGAACATTGTGAATATGTCGTGAGCTTCTTGTTGTTCGGTCTGTATCATTTTTTCAGGTGCATGCCGGACTTCAGCACGTTCCACAACCTGGTGGGACAGGCGTCGTTCGGCGACTCCTCTAACCACACGGGAGGCTTTGATAGCGGAGGCCAAGTCAGCAACGACGACGAGGTAGCGGCAGCCGTTGCAGGGGCGCTGTTCTCGTCGAGAAGCAAGTCTTCAGTAGGGGGAAGCAGCGGTAAGTATATACATTTTCCCGTTTTTTCTGTTTCGAACCCTTGGTTGTCCTGGTGTTGTTTTCTCCCTCTAGAAGCGAGTCTTGTGTGGGGGAAGCAACGGTACAGTTTTCTTTTTTTTTGCTGAATATTTTTTTGCTGAATTGAACCCGTTTGTATTGATGTGTTCTCCGAACCCCTGGAGGTGAGTACGCACCCGCTGCGTCTAACCTTTGGCCTGGTGTATTGCCCCCCAACTATGAGCACACACACACACCCTTCGTAGACGTGTATTGCTCCCCCCCCTCCTCCCCGGTGTTTACCATCGGGGTTGGGTTTTCGTCGCTTGGCAACGACGTTGTAAAACAAGCCGCCCCCCCCGGTGTTTGCCATCGGGATTGGGTTTTCGTCGCTTGGCAACGACGTTGTAAAACAAGCCGCCCCCCCCGGTGTTTGCCATCGGGATTGGGTTTTCGTCGCTTGGCAACGCCGTTGTAAAACAAGCCAATTCACTTCTTGAACTCGGCAACCAGGTTACCATTTTTTTTTCGCGGTAACCATAGTGGTGGTCGAGTAGATTGTGTTGGCCGGGTGAACCCTCACTCCGCGCAAGGGGGATGATCGCACCACGTTGTGT